TCCATTAACTGAATGTAATTCCTGGCTGACAGATCATAGCAAATTCAAATATGTACATATTCTTGGAAGTATAAAGTCTGCATCTACTAATTTATTATAAGGAAATAATAGACATTTATATAAATACTTACATATTTATACACTTACATATGTTCACAAATGTATATTTAACAGTATTGTTGGTGATGGAAGAATGTTGAACATAATATAACTGTCCAGCCACATGAAAAAGTTGAAATAAAATATATATCCATACAATGTCATATCGTGTAGTCATTTAAAATTATGTTTCATGTATGGGTTCACTAATAATAATAAAAAATTTTCATGATACATCATTATTAAAAAGAACAGATCACAAAAGATATTATATGTTCCTATTTTTTTAATGTGTGCATATAAGTGTGACTTTTAAAATACACAAAGAGTTAGCCTTGATATCTCTAGATATGTGCAATAATTAGTGTTTTCCTCTTTGCATTTCTGGTTTTCTGTAATGAGTATTGCTTTAGTAATAACAAAGGGGGAAGGAATGAAAGCAAAGCATCATCATGGTTTTTTTTCTAGAAATAAAAACATCATATTTAATTATTAATAGTGATGAATGTATCATCCGCAAAAAGTTAAAATGTGTTTGGTATGCTTATTAAAGAAGGCAGATACATATTAAATATTAAACTACCATATTTAATCAAGTAAGTTTCCTTTCTGCAGCACAAACCTCATTGTTTAGCAATGCCAGAAAAAAGAAGGGGGGTGCTTATGTATGCACATTTACACGGATAAGCCATAAAAGTGTGCATACCTTTCTGTGTGTGCCACAAATTAAAATGGGGACTCCCTGTGCTTTTTCACTTAGTCATGAAAAATAACTGACCTAGAGGCCGATGTTCTGATTCATCTAAAGCCTGCACCAGAATTGTTAAATTATTCTTATTCTTATTTTGTTCCAAGTACTGTGTTCACAGAGGAACTCATGCTTCAATAGTTCCCCTCCATTTGGGTAAAAGAGACCAAGTTTTTGCATGCACAGGCTACAGAAACCTTATGAATCTTTTAGCCACAAAGCATGTGTTACAAAGACATGCTATTTCACAATAGAAATTTCAGGCTTCAAACTGTGGCTTTCATTGCTCATTTGGTTGTGTGGATTTCTTCTCACTTAAAGATAGAAAGATGACACCCAGAGGACTTTGTCTTCTTTATTTTTAATAGTCTCAGCCTTACTGACAAGCAGAGCACAGAACAACAAGCATTTTCCTAAACAGAAGGCATTTTCCAATTGATTCAAAAGCCCTGTACTTTGCAAAGCAATCTCATGCAAGGTCACAACAATCTGATATGCCACGAAGACTTGTGACTGAAAACATGGACTAAGGTGTCAATCAGATCACAGGCGCCACCCACACTAGAGGACAAAAAAGAAGCAAAAGAGAAGACACAAAACAACATACACAAGGAACATTCTGGTTCCCTCTATTGTCCTCACTAAAGGTTCTCCTACTGCTTCCTGGTATTTTGTTATTGAATAGAAACAGTAGTAAATTCTACTAGGAGCTTGAAACGAGGATCTAAAGACACAAAAGGAGGTCTCCTTGTGAGTTATTAAAGTTTAGAGACAAAAATCAAACAGGCTCTGCAAAAATTGTCAAATTCCCTTAGGAAATGCTGATGAAAACCAATCAGTCAGATTCCTCCAGAACAAATAAAACTAATGCTTTGATTTTTCATTTACCCTTGATCAATTGATCTCCCAAAGCAGCAACATTAGTTACATTTTTCAAATGAAATGATAGCTAAAGTAAGGAATGCTAACATCTACTTTCTATTTTGTATTAAACATGTTAGAATTTATTATAGCAATAATCACATAAGGTCATTTTAAACTCATCCGAATTCCTAAAATATGTCCATCTTCTTTTATCATAATTTTTCTTTACATTTTTATGACAAAAATTTTAATAAATTATATATAATGTACATTTAACCCTTAACAACCATACAAAATAAGTATTATTACTGTGATTATGTTAAGGGAAAAACGCTAAAGTATTTGGAGGTAAGTTAGTATTCCTAAGAGCAAACGTAAGAAGGGTTAACACTTTGTTATATTTGCTTTAATTCTTTTTTTTACCAAGGATTTATTTATTTATGCATACAAAAACTGGGGTACAGGCCAGGGGTATAGGCCAGAGGTGCGGGGCATGGGGGAGGGGGTAAAGAGGATTCACCAGAGACAGGAATGGGGAGAAGAACAGGCAGATTCACTGAAATACACTGCTGAGGGGAGCCATGGGTGAGACAGGAGAGGTCTGCTGCAACTTGTGGGTTGGCTCTCTGCTGCAGAAGCTTCATAGTTCTGAGACTTAACCCCTTGCGCCACCAAGGAGGACCTATTTGCTTTCATTCTTTTGTTCTTTTAAGTAATTAAATATTACCCACATAGGTGAAATCTCTTGTATTTCACACGAATTCAATTCCTCCCTAAATACCCAGAAGAAATCTCAATGTAGCCCAAAAATGATGTATCACTTTCTGTTACATTATGCTTTTATTACACATGTATGGATCCATGAACATATAGAATTTTTCATATTTTAATTGAGAAATAATTGACATATAACATAATATTGGTTTTGTTATAGGACAGGGAGAGGGGCAGCCCAAACCCCGCAAACCTGCCTATTCTAAATGGGTTCTGCCATCCACCGCATCAACACAAAACATAGGAGACTTTAATGGGAAGGAACTTTAATAAAACTAGGAAACAATACAGGTAAGGCAAAGAGTCTAGTTTCTAAATGAAGCACCCAAAGTTACCCGTCCCCTCGTGGGTAAAAGTCCATCCATATGGGATCGGCCCAGAACAAGGCCCCAAAGCCTGCTAAAAGTCTAAAACATCTTCCAGTGGGGACCCACAGAAAAGGGTCACAAACAACCGGACAAGTCCGGAAGGAAAAGAGCAAAATCAACATCAAGATAAAAGCTGCCATTGTCACCTCCCCACGGGTCTCACCCACATCTGTGTCACCCAGTCCACGACCAAAAGACAAGCGCAGTTTCTTCACGTGTCTCTAGGCTCCATGCGCCTCCTCCAGGTCTCCTGGCTCCATCCTGCTTCCTACCTCAGTCTCTTCTGCAGCTTCTCCTTTTCCTGCTCAGCTCCACCCTTCCTTGGGTGGGGCAGGGAACCTCCCCCTTTCCTGGGGACCACCCTGTTACAGTTTCAGGTATACAACATAATGATTTGAAATTTGCATGCATTGTAAAATTCTCACCACAAAAATTTCGAGTTATCATCCTCACCACATAAAGTTAGTTTTGGCATTTACCCTCTTGATCCCCTTCATCCACTTTGCCTAATTCTCAAAACCTGTCCCTCTAGGAAACACCATATCTATAACTCTTATTTTTGTTGTTTTGTTTTGTTTTATTTTTTATTGTTTAAATTATACATATAAGTGAAATCATAGAGCATTTATTTGTCTTTTCTGTTTGATTTATCTTCCTTAATATACTTCCCCCAAGGTCCATCCATGTTGTTTCAAATGGCAAGATTTTTAAAGGTATTTTTTAGCATTCCATGTCATATTTCTATATGTAAATATACATATTTATACATGTGTATGTATATATATTTATATACAAGTACATGAGCACGTGTGTACTATTTATATACAAATGTATCTTTATTCATCCATCACTGGACACTTAGGTTATATGTGTATTTTGGCTATTGTGAACAATGTTTCAGTGAACATAGGGCTGTATATATCTTTTCAAATTGATGTTTTTATCTTCTTCAAATAAATATCCAGAAGTGGAATTTGCTGGATCATATGGTTGTTGAAGTTTTAATATTTTTTAGAAATCTCCATATGGTTTTCCATAATATGTGATTGTTTTGTGTGTATCATTCTCATCAATTTTTTTCACTCTATATTTCTGTGGCACAGTCACTTTAAATTATATAATTCCAGTGCATTTATAGTATTGTTATGTGAATATACCACAATTTACTTATTTCTTTTGTTCATGGCATATACTTGAAATGTTTTAATCTTTCAACATTAAACTCAATGCCATTGAATAGACTTTCAGATTTTGATGGTATATGAGAAGCTTAGAAGCTGATAGTTCATCCTAACAACAAATTAAAAGCTAAAAGGTAACAACTCTTTCTTAGATCTGAGACACAAGGCAAGCTAGGAATTATGCAGTTTTAGGGACAGTGCAGGAGGGGACCTCTGAAGAATTTAGGGAGGCTTCAGAGATAAGGACAACCAAGGGAATGTAACCAATTCCACTAGGAAAAACAAACATATCAGGACCAAGGACAACATTGTTAAAGCTGTCCTGGGTTCCTTCAGGTGGTAAAGGGAGGCGGAGATTGGAGAAATGGGAGAGTGGTTTAATTTATGGACAACTTAGAAGGGCATCTGTTTAACTTCAATGCAGGGATGTCCATCCAGAGGACTGGGCCATAAAAATAAAGATGCAACAAATGGGGAAAGAGAAAGCTGTTAGATAAGGAATGTGAAGATCCCCACTCAGCAAATTAAGTGAAACAGCCGAGAACTAACCAATCACAAAGAGACTGGTGGAGCTTTAGAATAATGAGGGAAAGAAAGTATATATTCCCTGAGACACAACTCCACTTTGGCTTCCTTGCCCCTCCCAGGCCTGGTTCCCTGGCCTGGGAGTCCCACTTTATTTCTGTTCTTTTTCTCCTCAATAAACTTTTTCTTTCTCTAAACAAACCTGCCTCTTCTCGCTTGCTTGCCTGAGCGTCTGCGAAGTTCCTGCTGCGGCTTCGTGAGACACCAACCTGTGGGGGTCTAGTGGCTGGGGCTCAGCGCTGCCCTGCAGCCTGGGATCCATTCCTGGCTGGGAGACTAGGCCTGACAATTCCGGTATCAGATCCAGCAAAGAATTGAGGTCACAGGGCAAGCTGATGCTCCAATAAACAGAGAAACAAATTATAAAGATTTGTACTTTACCAGTGTTGTCGTTTTTGGAGTCTGTGGGTTTTGAGTGCGGGGTCCTTGGGTTCACTTTGGAAAAGGTTTCACCAGAGTTCCCCTTTCAGCGACACGCGGCAAGTTTCCCAGGGAGTTTCTCCTCGAGACAGAGACATTAGTTATATTTAAAGAACGGGTTTATTAGGGAAAGGGACAGGAGAATGAAGGACACTTGCACAGACACAAGCAGGCAGGAAGAGCTGCCCGGAAAGGGACAGGTTTGCTAAGAGAGGCCTGCATGATTGCAGGCAGGCGGCCTTGAGGAGAGCTGCCTCCCCTGAGGGAGGTCAGTGAAGAGAAGTCCTGGCATGGTAAGGTCATGGGCAGGCAGGAAGTTGCTGCCCTGCAGAGGGAGAGAGTTGATGAAGAAGCACCAGCAGAAGGATTGCTGCCCTAAGCCTGGGCAGAGACTGCACTGATATAGTCCTTTTCTGTTTGGGAGGGGTCACTCCTTGTGAGCCTTCAGTTTGTTGCTGATTTTGGATAACAATGCAGAACAATGAAAGGACCAGAGATTCCAGGGTGGGCCCAATCTCCATATCTTTACCCTCAGGTCTGTGCTCCACTCCCTAGAGCAATCTGATCCTGCTTGGGTCTTATACCTTGTGATTAGGCACTGGTGCCTAAGGGTCACGACTTCTACAGCTAGATTAATTGTCATGTTATTTCCCTCGACCCCCACCTCCTTGTGAGGCAGTTCTGGTTTTGTGGCACCTCCTTTCTAGTCTTTCCATTCTTGTCCTCCATCAAGAGGAGTGTTCCACAACCACTGTTGGAACTAGTACTGGGTAGGAAAAGATCAAGTATAATTGATGAATGGCTAGAGGGTTTGTGTGAACAATTCTGAGAGTTAAAACTTGAGAGGGTGCTGTATTAGATTGTGGCATCAGGCAACACCACACTGATACAGGAGTGGAAGTCGTGGAGCAGGCTACATAATGCAGGATGCTGCTAAAGAGCGCAATCCTGGCCTTTTTTGATAGAACTATACCGCATCAGTTGAGAGGAAGGAGGCCCAAGAGAAAAGGAAGGGGTAAAACTAGAAACTGTGCTCTGTCATCTATAGTATCAGGGGTTGTGAGTCTGCCCTCCAGGCACTTCTCATCTGCTTGATGACTTGGTATTGTAACTGAGATCAAGCTCTAGTTCCCCAGCCATGGTTTCAATCTTTTTTTTTTTTTTTCCCCATGGTTTCAATCTTATCAACAAGGCTTTCCACTGATTAGCTTTGGAGTCCCTTGTTATACATCGGTCATGTCCTCGGCACCCCCATCATGTCATACCTCATGATGCAAAGCCTTCCCACCTCGATCCAGCTTTGTGTTCTTGATTGATTTGAAAGGCACCTTGCAAGGTGGGGTTCCTGTACCTAAATGACTGGGCCATTCTGACCTTGCTTAGGATTTAGAACTGTAGGTAACAAAATGGTGGCTGAACAGGCCACTTAGGATTAGCAGACCCACATTAGATAGTTGTAGAAATAAATTCTACTTTTTACCCAGGCTGAGGAAGAACAAGCGGTACTTCAGGAGTGGTGAGGTCAGGAAAAGCTTTATTGCCCATGCATGAGGTCCCAGACCTGGGTAACCCCGTAAGGTCTGAGTGTTAGGGGGAAAGGATGTTCTGAGCTAATCCCATACAGGCTTTGTGGACCCCACCCCCACTCCAGACCAAAGCCATCAGGACATTGGGAAAGACAAATCCTGTCACTGTAACAGGGTGGTCCCCAGGAAAGGGGGATTATACCCTGAGATCTGTGCCACCATAGGTATGGTGGAATAAAAATTAAAAGGGGGGATTGTAACAGGGTGGTCCCCAGGAAAGGGGGAGGTTCCCTGCCCCACCCAAGGGAGGGTGGAGCTGAGCAGGAAAAGGAGAAGCTGCAGAAGAGACTAAGATAGGAAGCAGGATGGAGCCAGGAGACCTGGAGGAGGCGCATGGAGCCTAGAGACACGTGAAGAAACTGCGCTTGTCTTTTGGTCGTGGACTGGGTGACACAGATGTGGGTGAGACCCGTGGGGAGGTGACAATGGCAGCTTTTATCTTGATGTTGATTTTGCTCTTTTCCTTCCGGACTTGTCCGGTTGTTTGTGACCCTTTTCTGTGGGTCCCCACTGGAAGATGCTTTAGTCTTGTGGCAGGCTTTGGGGCCTTGCTCTGGGCCAATCCCATTTGGATGGACTTTTACCCACGAGGGGACGGGTAACTTTGGGTGCTTCATTTAGAAACTAGACTCTTTGCCTTACCTGTATTGTTTCCTAGTTTTATTAAAGTTCCTTCCCATTAAAGTCTCCTATGTTTTGTGTTGATGCGGCGGATGGCAGAACCCATTTAGAATAGGCAGGTTTGCAGGGTTTGGGCTGCCCCTCTTCCTGTCCTATAACATCACCACCAAAGGGAAGGTGGCAGGGTGGAGTTAAGCAGCCAGGATTGGTATAAAAAACCAAACACGTGGGCCTTGGGGGGCTCGATCTCTCGCTCGCTTCCTGGCTTCATGGCTCCTGGCTCACGGCCAGCTCTCAGAGTGCCATTTGGGATTCCAGATCTGCGGATCGGGTAGGATGCATTTAAAACTTTGTCTCCCACTTTTCTCCCTGAGTTGTACATTTCCTTATTTGCCCTTCCCTTGTAAATAAACCTTTTATTAACCTTTCATGTGCGCCTGCAGTAGAGTATCGATAAGTCCTTTTAAGTGCGCGGGTGAGGACCCACAGTCAGGCAACCCGTTTTGTATCGGGGCTGCCCTATGACATGAGCACATGTTTAAAGACCAAGGGTTCCTTTTATACACAACTGTGTGTCCATATCTGTTACATGGATAACATTGTTTTTCAGCAGGCACAACTGTTATAGGACAGGGAGAGGGGCAGCCCAAGCCCCGCAAACCTGCCTGTTCTAAATGGGTTCTGCCATCTGCCGCATCAACACAAAACATAGGAGACTTTAATGGGAAGGAACTTTAATGAAACTAGGAAGCAATACAGGTAAGGCAAAGAGTCTAGTTCCTAAATCAAGAGCCCAAAGTTACCCATCCCCTCGTGGGTAAAAGTCCATCCATATGGGAATGGCGCAGAGCAAGGCCCCAAAGCCTGCCACAAGTCTAAAGCATCTTCCAGTGGGGACCCACAGAAAAGGGTCAGAAACAACCAGACAAGCCCGGAAGGAAAAGAGCAAAATCAACATTAAGATAAAAGCTGCCATTGTCACCTCCCCATGGGTCTCACCCACATCTGTGTCACCCAGTCCACGACCAAAAAGACAAGCGCAGTTTCTTCACGTGTCTCTAGGCTCCATGCGCCTCCTCCAGGTCTCCTGGCTCCATCCTGCTTCCTTCCTCAGTCTCTTTTGCTGCTTCTTTTCTTCCTGCTCAGCTCCACCCTCCCTTGGGTGGGGCAGGGAACCTCCCCCTTTCCTGGGGACCACCCTGTTACACAACCATTTGCAGCAAAGTCCCCAGACAAGGGGGGGCAATCCAAGGGGAGAAAGATGCAGGCATTCGGGGATGGCCTTGGAGAGAGACCAGCTTGGCCAACTGCCCAACCTAATAGATAAGCGTGCTGAGGCCCTGGCCATGAATCTTGAAAGGGAAGGAGTTGTAAGTAAGCAAACTTGTTGATTATGCCTGCGTTGGAGTGTTCATTGCACCTGGGCTGGAAGTTCTGCTGGAATCTTTGTTATATTCATTTGCTCAATAATATATTTTCGCTTCAAGATGACCTTTCACACTTTTGTAAGTTTTACCTTCAGGAGCTCTACCAAGTTCCCCAGTGAAGATTTCACAGTGAAAATCTCTCTTGCACTTCTAAGAGAGAGAGAGGAAAAAATGGCCATTTGAGTCACTGGAGCATTCAGGATTTTTTTAATAGAGAGATTTTCTGGAGATTTCATTCTCCAGAAAAATGAAAAACTGGCTCGCAAAATTATATAATCTAGAAATTCCAAGATCTGCCATTGGCAAGCTGGAAACACACACACACAAGAAACATCAAGACATAATCTAGTGGGGGAAGGAAACTCCAGTCATTCAGCCCCACCTTTAGATCCCTCTATTCATACAAGACCTGGTATGTTGGCCAGAGGTGTGGGGGGAAGGGGGGCGTGTGTGAGGATTCACCAGAGACAGGGAGCAGAACAGGCAGACTGAATGAAATACACTGCTGTGGGGAGCAGTGGGTGAGACTATTACAGGGCAGCCCTGATAGCTCAGTACATCCTTTCCCCCTAGTAAGATAAGAGAGGTCTGCAGTGTCATGTGGGTTAGCTCCCTGGCTGGGGATAAAACCCATGCTGCAGTGGCTGTGGATAGCTTCATAGTGCTGAGACTTAATCCCTTAAGCCACCAGGGAGGCCCCATTCTGGATTTTTTTTTAACAATACATGCCTTTAGGGAGACTATTTTATTATATTCTAACCTCTCAGACCTTAATCTAGTTGGGGAAGGAAACTCTAGTCATTCATCCCCACCTTTAGACCCCTCAAAGGATCCTTCCCACCTCAGGCAAGAGAAAAAAATTGAGAAGCACTTATAAATTTCAAAGACAGGGGATGAAATTTATTAAAGAATTTTGAGACTTAATTATAGGAATATAGAACACTTCTCATCCCACAGCTTGCCTTCACACCATTAAAGCCTTATTTACTAGAATTGTTTTTACCTAGTATATCATGTCTGACTTTATATCTTTTAAGATTTATTTCTTTATGCATACAAGAACTGAAGTACAGGCTAGAGGTGTGTGTGGGGGGGGGGGGGTGGAGGTGGTGGTGAGAGGATTCACCAGAGACAGAGTGAGGAACAGAACAGGCAGACTGACTGACACCAGAGATAGAGTGACTGAAATACATTACTGAGCGTAGCAGTGGGCAAGACAGGAGAGGTCTGTTGAGCCATGTGAGTAGCTCCCTTGCAGGGATCAAACTGGTGCTGCAGTGGCAGTGATAGCATCATAGTGATGAGACTTAACCCCTTGCACCATCAGAGAGGTCCCCTTTGTCGGACTTTAAACAAAAAATTACAAGGCATGCTAAAAGGCAAAAAAAAAAATAAATAAAAATAACACTCAGTTTGAAGATAATGAACAAGTATCACAAACAGATTCTGACATGGTAGGGACACTGGAATTATCAGACCATAAATATATTTTCTTTAATTTTTTTTTATTGAGGTAACTTTGGTTTGCAACACTATATATATATAACTTAAAAGAACAGAACCAGACCATTCAGGTGTATGTCACCATAGACCATGAATTTAACACAACTATGATTAACATGCTAAAACCTCTACTGGGAAAAAAAAAAAAAAAAAACAGATAACTTGTAAGAACAGATGGTTCCATATAAGCAGAGATGAAAACTTTAAGGATGTATCAAGAACTAC